TTTTTTCCTTTTAACCTAAGATGACTTAGCCTTTTAAAAAAGGGGAAAAAAGAGTTTGTAACTCGAATCTAAGTTCGTAAGTCGAGTTCATATATTCCTATGAGAGCAGTTCGTAAGTCGAAACGTTCGTAAGTCGAGACCCCACTGTAATTTTGCAGAACTCTGGAAACAAGGGGAAGGATGTAAAGGCAAAAGGGCGAACCTATAGTTTCTGAGCTTTTGAACTCTTATTTCTTATCCCCAAACAAAGCAAAGCTTAAATACATTTCCTTTGTCTTTCATCATTGTTGCCCCGTGGATGATTTGTTTGACCTTCCACGTTCTCCAAGTGCTTGTTTTCTTACATACAGCAGTGTATATATATACCAGTGGCATCATGTAAATAATGGCAATAATACAAGCATCTCCATTTGTTCACAGTCATCTGTTTTAAACCTTGCTCTTTGCAGCTATATATACCAGTGGCATCATGTAAATAATGGCAATAATACAAGCATCTCCATTTGTTCACAGTCATCTGTTTTAAACCTTGCTCTTTGCAGCTTTCTCTCCTCTTTCCCCATTACTATCCCATCTGTCCCGCAGTGGTCCTAGCAATACTTGTATGACATCAAGTCATTTCTCTTAAGGTTTTTCTAGGCTGAGAATATTCAGAAGTGGTTTACCATTCCCTCCTTCTCGGAGAGCCAAGGCCACACAGGCTGGAGTTTTTGGGATACGCAGTGTGGGATTGTACTCCCAACCTCTGGCTCTGCAGCCAGAGGCCTTAGTCACTGAACTATCCAGCCAGCACACAGTAGTTCTACTGTTCCTTAATTCATTCCCAAAATCTTTAGGTGTTTTCATGGAGCATAACTGCTGTTTGTGCCGTCCTTCTGTACAGCTCCCCAAAATTAAAAGGGAAGGGACCAGCATATTCTACATCTTCCCACTCTCACTTTGCTGTCCATCAAAGAAATCCAGTGCTCAAGGGTCTTGGAACTTTTTCGCTGCGGGAAAAGTGTTGGATTTGGGTTTCTGTATATGATTTGATTTCCCCTTGTTCTCTGTGGTCTTGAGGGGAATTACTGTCCATGCCTCTGGTATGGGGTATAAGGTTGCAATGGCTGTTAATTCACCTATAGAAGACACAGATAGAGTTTCCACTGCATTGGCTTCATTCTTTACCTTCCTGAGGTATTTCATAGTAGACATAGTCTAGGTGGGTAGGATATAAATCAAATCAATTACAGTGGTGCCCCGCATAGCGAGGTTAATCCGTTCCGATTAACTGCAGCTATGGGAAAACATCGCTATACGGAAAGTAAAAACCCATTGGAACGCATTAAACTTCGTTTAATGCATTCCAATGGGGCCCAAACTCACCGTTCAGTGAAGTTTCCCCATAGCGCTGCCATGTTCGCGCCCTCGGTAAGCGAGGGCAGGGCACGAAAACGCTGCGCGTGGCCATTTTGGGTGTCCGGCGGCCATTTTGGAACCACCGATCAGCTGTTTAAAAAATCGCTATGCGAAAATCGGTAAGCGAAACGCTTACCGATCGTCGCAAAGCGATTTTTGTCCATTGGAAACATCGGTGTGCGATTGCAATAGCGATCGCAAAATTCGCATCGCTATGCGGATTCATCGTTAAATGGTGCGCTCGTTATGCGAGGCACCACTGTAATTAATTCAGAATGCTGATTCTCCACCCAGTGGTGTAGAAGGAGATATTCTTGAACCAGCATTGAACAAAGTATTGTGACCCTGTCAATTACGGAGAAGGAAACCTATGAAACATCAAAACCTTTTGAAGTACAGTGGTGCCTCGCTTAACAGGCGCCCCGTTTAATTATGAATCTGCATAGTGATGGCTTTTTTGCGATCGCTTTTGCAATCGCATTGTGATGTTGCCTATGGGGAAAATCGCTTTGGGATTTTTCCCCATAGGCCCATTTTCCCCCAGCTGAGCGGTGGGAGCTTCCGAAGGACCGCGGGGGAGGAGGAAGCCCTGGCTTATAGAGTTTTGATGTTACTTTGAGTCCTGGGGATGTTGTTTTATCACTCTGTTCTGTCTGCCTTATACTTCTGTGTTCTCTCTCTCTCTCTCTGTGTGTGTGTGTGTGTGTGTAGAGCACTCAGATGTTCTTGTTTTCTTCAGTGTAGGGAAGGATTATTCTTTTGGGGCAGGGCCAGGGAGTGAGATAGAGTTGTATCCCCCAAGAAAGTCCAATACAAGCTTTGTTTACTCCTCCTTCTTAGAGTAACAAGCTCATGTCACATGCTCTAGGCCAGTCATTCTCAATGGAGGCCATGTGGCCCCTTTGGATGCCCTGGTACATTTGAAGGGGACCACAGATGGGAAACAATTCTTCACACAACACCTTATCAGGTGCTTTATGTGACTTATACGTTCCTGATTCGGCCTATATTTCTTTAGCACATCCTGTTTATGGACATAGCAAAAAAAAAAAGTTACAGTATTCATAAATAACAGTTGCTCTACTTTAATGCACCAGACCAGCTGTCTGATGAGGAAGAAGCTGCATTTTGCCTAATGGTAGGAGTGGCTATCATAATGAGTTAAATAGTGTCCCTGAAACACCCCCCAAAACACACACACACACACACACACACACACACATTTCAAGTCTCTCTTTTATTTTTCTCATAGCTAAGCAATGAGAATCTCAAGCATCTGTTTTCAAATCCAGAAGCAAACCAGGAGAATAGCGATGCATTTCTGCAGAACAACACAAGAAAAGAGAACCGCCTGATTGAAACGTTGTTGGAGAGCTTTTCCGCCAATAGATTGAGTACTCCAAACAGCAAAGTAAGCTTAAAAGCCTTGATTTTTAAAAAATCTCCAGCTACTACTATTACGCACATCCCTTTAGAGCTGCATATTTTCCTCTGGGTCCTTTAACCGGAGATGACTTTGTTGTTTAGCCCTGAAGCCAAGGTGACTCGACATACTCTTGTAACATTTTGAGATTTTTTTAAAAAAAGAATTGTTTGTTTGTTTGTTCCTCTGACAGGTTTTCGGAAGTGCAAGAGCCAAACTAGATTATGTATTTGCCATATAGATTACATGTCAAGCTTTAAAAGAGGTTCTCCAAAAGGTGAACATTATCTGCTTGTCATAGCATGTGATTTTCTTCACCTCTGTACCTTGCACTTAGTTTGCTTTGTTTTATGTGTAGTCATTGGAGGGTAAATTTACAGGTTTGCCAAGGCACGTAATTTCTGAGGAAGTCTTGTTGTGGAAGGGAAAAGCTAATCGGTCACCATAGGGAGCAAATGTTTCCTGTAACATCTGTTTCAGTATTAGATCCTGCAAAGACAAAGATCTACCCTGTTTCCCCGAAAATAAGACCTAATCTGAAAATAAGCCCTAGTATGATTTTTCAGGATGCTCGTAATAGAAGCCCTCCGCCCTTGTGCAGCATTGTGCAGCAACCAGAAGATAACATGACTGTAAAATAAAACATCCCCTGAAAATAAGCCCTAATGCATGTTTTTTTTTTGAGCAAAAATTAATATAAGACCCTGTCTTATTTTCAGGGAAACATGGTAGTTAGGATGTGCTAAAGAAACGTGCTGTTTTTTTCAGCATGAACATCCTTGAATCAGAGCTTACTGCTTCAGGTATATGGGTAGCAAAAGTTTGTTGTTTGTAGCCACAAAGAAGGCCTACACAGTTTCATCCCACCTTTTGATGTGAGGTGGTTCTATTTCCTAATGATAACAACAGTGACACAGGCTACGTTGTGAGATTATCCATTTTTGGAGGTTCTCAAATGGACGTTGGGTATCCACGCTTTACTTATAAATTTCCTGCATTGTGGATTTAAGCCCTTTCTAGTTCTGGGATATTACAGTGTATTTGCAAACAGTGTCTAGTTCTTGTGAGGATGCTTAAATGTAGAAGTGGAAAGGAACGTCCTTCTCTCCTCCCACGCCCATGAAGTCGTTCTCCTGTTCCTTCAGTTCCTTGCATTCCCCAGAAAAACCTCTCTGGAAGGATGCATCAAAAATTTTGGCCTCTGTCTTCCAGTTTTGCAAAGCCAGATGGAATTGCCTAGAATGGGGAAAGCAGCTGAGCTGTACAATATTCCTTCACCCAGTTTGGGACGATGCACTTCTCCTTTTGTAACTCAAAACAGTCTAGAAATGTTTGCTAGGTTCTTCCTTTCCTCACCTTCTAGAGAGGCTTTCTGGGGGCTCCCAGGGTGAGGTGGGGAAGGAAAAAGCTCTGTTGGATTTCATAGAATTAGAGATATCCAGAGTTGGAAGAACAAGTCCACATTAAAGCATCCATGCAAAAACTTTCAGCAGCAGAGAACCCACCACCTTTTGAGGAAGTCTGTTCAGCTACTAAACAGTTCTTAGTAGCCAGGAAGGTCTTCCTAATATTTAGTCAGAATCCTTTTTTTAAAAATTGTATTTACGAAATGTGAAAATGAATGAAGTCGAATGTTGCATGTTCTGCTGTCCTTTCTCTTGTTAAAGGCATCAGTTATTGGCCCTTTCAATCCCTACACTCCGAAACTCAGCAGCTTGACCAGAGTCTCCAGATTCAGGTGAGAAACAAGGTTGGGAAAGACATCTGTCACCCTGCTTGTGGGCATCATCTTATCTCCCCTGTTCCCGCTTGATCCCAGCAGGAGACAAGATGCTACTTCACATGGTTGTTTGGGTCTATCCAGGAGGGCTCTTCTTGCATTCACGTATTGTAGACATCTGAAGCTGCAGAGCGTCTGAGAGCTTTGCTTGCTACAATATGGAGCAACTAGACCAAATGGGTGCCAGTTGCTTTCTGGGTGCAGTTCAAGGTTTTGGTTTTGGTTCATTCACAGTTCAAGTTGTTGGTGTTAGCTGTTAAAGCCCAAACTTGTTCATATGTTAAGATCTTGAGTGAAGATCCTATTGAGGATATCAATTATTGTCTATTTATGATTTATTTCTTTTATTTATTTATATGCCATCTTTCACCCCATAGGAAGCTCACAATAATTAAAACGATGTAGTAGTAACAGGTTAAAAATGTCATACAAAACTGTACGGTAGGGACCCCTGTATCTACGGGATTCGTATCTGCGATTCTTCTTCATGGTCTTTGGGAATGCACACATGGGGGTTGTTCCACACCTGCACTCTCCACGGTTACGGGGGTCCTCCTGTACATTAAAAAACCATTTAAACATAGGTCAGGATTTAAAAGAATTTTTTTTAAATGTAAAGGTTTAAAGATATCTAAGTTTCAGCATGTTCCCTGGCCTAGACCAGAGGTCCCCAACCCCCAGACCAGGCCACAGAGATAGACCTCCCCACAGCACCCACACAGCCCGTTTGCGCCTGCGTGCACGCCTGCGCCCACATTCACTCCCCCACCCCTTTGCACATGCGTGTAAGTGCCCCCTGAGCACCATGCTGCTCTTTGCTCATGCGCACGAGCGCAGGGCGGGTGTCCCGCCTTCCCCATCCAGTCTGTGGGGCTAAAAAGGTTGGGGACGGCTGCCCTAGACAGTTCTTTGCTTGGTGATGGAAGGAGAAAGACCTCATTCTTGAGGCAATGTTTTCTAAAACATGAGAACAGCCACTGAGAAGGCCCTCCTTGTTTTTGTGTTGAAGGCCAGTGTAGAGGAGAGGCTACTGTGTTTATTTTAATTAGTTGATAATTATGATCAGTGTAGAGGAGAGGCTACTATGTTTATTTTAATTAGTTGATAATTATGATGTTTAATTATGATGTTTAGCCGCCCAGAGTGGTATGATATACCAGATGGGCGGGATATAAATCAAATAAATAAATAAATAAATAAATAAATAAATAAATAAAATAATTGCTTAACTGTTCAGTTTATTTTTTTACTCTGATTACAAATCTTTCTCGACCACAATTATGTTCTGGAAAGACAGGGTAGTATTGGAAGTTAATTTATCTGAGATTGCTGTGGCTGACCCGGCTTTCTTGTCAGCACCCTGTAAAGCCAAGTAGAAAATTTCTCTCCCATCAGGTTATTCATTTCCATTAGGATTATTATTGAAGTTTTTAAAAAAGAACTTAATTGCATGGTTATAGTTAATTAATGGCCTAGACCTCTATAGCTGGCATATGATTGATGTGAACGTTCTGTGGATGTGGGGATGTATTTTATAAAAAATATTTGGGTCCATGCACATGTGTCTCTCAGCTGAAGATGTATTTCTTCCTTTCTTCGAAAGATCAGAAAATGTTGATTTATTAAAATGTTTTTCTTGTGCCCTTCCTACAAAAAGCTCAGGAGCATAAGATCCAGGAACACAACGTAGTTTCAAAAATGATTTAGAGCAAAGATTCCCAAACTTTTTTTGCCCCGTAGACCACTTACCGAATTCCTTGTTTTCCGTAGACCCCCTGCCTACGTAATATCGCATTTTCCTAAACCTATTAACTTCAAACACGTTTTAAGGGTTTTTTGAAAGAGTGCACAAGTGTAGGGAAAAAAAGTATTTATTCATACCTTTATTGAAAAAACAAAATTACCTATTTTCTATTTATATTTTTCAATGTATTTTTAAGCCACTTTTCTTTTCAAAACTCAGAAAGCAACTGAACATCTCTAGCACTCCTATTTATCAATTAGGAATCAAACAAATCCATGCAAAGCTTTGATACAAGTCTAAACAAGTATTTGCGTGCGCGATGTGTGTGCCTGTATAGCTCAGTAATGAGAAAGGACAAAATGTCGTCAATCCCATTTACAACACACCAACATTTACCACGTGGTGGGACGTGGTGGCGCTGTGGGTTAAACCGCTGAAGCCTGTGCTGTAGGGTCAGAAGACCAGCAGTCGTAAGATCGAATCCACGCGATGGAGTGAGCTCCCGTCGCTTGTCCCAGCTCCTGCCAACCGAGCGGTTTGAAAGCATGCAAATGCAAGTAGATCAATAGGGACCACCTCGGTGGGAAGGTAACAGCGTTTTGTGTCTAAGTCACACTGGCCATGTAACCACGGAAGATTGTCTTCGGACAAACGCTGGCTCTATGGCTTGGAAACAGGGATGAGCACCGCCCCCTAGAGTCGAACACGACTGGATAAAAATTGTTAAGGAGAACCTTTACCTTTACCTAACATTTACCATAAAAATTTACCAATAGTTTTATGAACTTACACATGAATGTAGCACATCACAATACAGATAGTACATAGGACCTAATTAAATAATATTATGAAATATTACGTACACAGAATCTTTTTTTGGTGTAATTACGGATCGCCTAAATATTTATTATGATCTGCCTAATGGGATCTGCTCACATAGACCCCCATTTACATCTCATGCATCCCCATTTTTTTCCCTCTCTGACATGGGTCAACTGCAAGTCGAAATCAACCCCTGGGGAGTCCATGTAGACCACTTTGGGAACCTATGATTTAGAGAATTTGGGGGGAAAGTGGGGAAAATAATTAAGCGGAATCAAAACCTCATTTACAGATCCAGCAAACCAATACCACACCATGAATGCTGATCCCCGGATTTTAGTTTTGCATCAACATGAGGTGAATGTTGGCGCCAGTCTTCAAGGGTAGGGCCATCCAGAGCCAGAGGCATTCCGGTCAAGGAAGCACTTTCCATGTGCAGAGTGCGTTCCTCCGGAGGAGGGTGACACAGAATGAAACATTGTTATTTTATTACATTTTAGTCCTGTCTTTCCTTTTAAAAAATAGCTCTCAAGGCAGCTGTCAGCATTGGTGAAGATAAATGCTAAATTCTTAATAGTCGAGCAGAAAGGGAAGCACTATGTCTCAGATTCTGATTTGGATTTATTGACATATACTTTTTCTGAGATGCCTCCCTGCCAAATTTGTAAATGATTGCATACAAATGAATATCTGTACATAATATATAGATAAGTAAGGTCTTTTGCTGGCTCCTTTTGCCTGAAAGCATGTCTTTTCAGAAGGGCCTTTCTCGGTTAACCAGCTTGATTTTTCAGTTTGCCTGTTTCAGTATCTCATTTATGCCTCTTTGAGTTTATGGTTATTTGTGTGTTTATTTAAATTTCATTGTTTGTATGTTTTTGCCACTGTAAACCATCCAGAAGAGGGCATTGCACTCATGGTGGGGTATACGAATTTAAGAAATAAGTAAATAATGCATTGTTGTTTATAATGTTGGGGGACTCATTTGAACCAACAAAGCATGGAGAGATCTAATCGTTTTGGATGTCTTTTGTTCAGCATGAAACGTTCTCTGCAAAGCAGATGTGGGAGCGTTGATTATTCTTTTCCACCCCTTCATAGACACATCATGGTCGAAAGGGAGAGTGTTAATTCTGTCATTGTTGCCGATGCCCCTGAGGATTCATTTCAACGGCTCTTGATTGCCGCCTCCGTATCAGCAAATTCAACGGGTGAATATTGCGGTGTGACTGCCACCTGATTTCCACGTTTATCTTCTGTGTAGCTCATTTTTGACCACCATTACGGAAGTGTGTGAGATGCTTGCATTCTGAAAAACTGCCCATGATCTGTTTACAGGGACAATTCAGAGTGCAGGTTTTAACTTATAATGCCCTAAACAGCTGTCTAAAAGACTGCATCTCCCTCTATGAGCCTGCCCGTGCATTAAGACCATTCTCATGGCACGTTTGGTGGGGACCCGGGAGAGGGCCTTCTCTGTGGCTGCTCCCAGACTCTGGAACTCCCTCCCACAGGAGGCCAGGATGGCCCCATCTTTGCTGTCTTCCCATAAACTAGCAAAGATCTTTCTCTTCAGGCATGCTTTTCCTTAACGACGGGTGGCCTGAGAGGGGATTTTAAATGGGTTGTTGTGCTCTGTTGTTTCAAAAGTGTTTTAGTATTGATTTTATTTACAGTTTTTACTATAATACTTGTTTGAATTTCTTTTTTTGAACATTTGTATACGTACTGTTTTTAGCTTTTAAATATTGTTTTTTTAGTGATGTCAGCGGCCTTAGGTACTTTTGAGGAGAAAGGTTAGGTAAAAATATTTTAAATAAATGAATAAATGATTCCTTTTTGATGACAACAGGGACCAAAGTGTTGCTGAGGGAGACCTCTCTCTTGCCTCATATCCCTGGACTCCCAGCGTTGTTGAGCATGTTGTTTGCTCCTGTGATAGATCTGAGGTACGTATGTGCTTCATTCTAAGCGTTAGTCCAGCAATTTGAAGAGAACGTGTGGTGTTCTTTCTTAAGTCTTCAGGTTGCATTTCATATAAACCTAATTTTTAGGCTGATTTTTTAAGTGTTCAGATCCTACCCCAAACTTGAGTTTAGTTCCAAGCCAAGCTTGCTCTGAAGGTTGTGGAAATTTGACAAGTGGGGTTTGCTAAGGGTAAAACGCAGACATGGATACAAAAGATTCACTATCCAAAAAGTCTCTGTTTTTATTTGGAGTTAGGGGTGGGGTTGGAAACAGTTCTCATTCCTGTTGAAAGTCAAATAAAGTTACTTTTTGGTGGGACTATAGCTTCTTGAATGCATCAGCTAACATAGGCAGGATACACTGATATGTTATCTATTTCTATACTTACAAAAAGGAGGATGAGGTAGTTTCCATTGATTCACCCTCTTCCTTGCAATTTTCTAAACATCTGCTCCAGAATGACAGGGGGTCATGCAGAAAAGTGTCCAAGGACAGGGATTAGTGGAAATCTCTTTCTATCACTTTTGCCTTTGGAAGCCTTCACCCCCAGATAGAGTGCCTTCGTGCCAATGCAGAAGGATCTCCACTCTAGCCTCCAAGATACAAGATCCACCTAGGACAAAATGTGGGTAACGATCCAAAAGCAGACCCAGCCTTCATTTTTATCCTACTGGACCCCCATAGGCTGCATCCACCTGGTTTTAAAACCCTAAACGCGCTGAGAACGATCTTTGGGACATAAATAATCTCTCCAGAAGTTGAGGGTTGAGGCTACGCAGAAGTCTCCATAATCCTTGCTTGTGCCCACCATCAAATCTGGTTATATCATCAGAAGCAATCGTGTTTTTCTCACTAGTGGGTTTATTAGGAAGCCTATTGCTCTCCCTAGGGTTGATGAGAACAGGAAGAATTACATTGGTGTCCTTTGCGGTTTGGGATGGAACAGTACTCTGAGAACGCCTGTCTTCCAAGATCACGACATGGAGCTTGTGTTTGATGTGCAGATTGATGTGGATGACATCACACAGGTAAATATATATATGTAGGACCTCTTCAATTTTGCAACAGCAAATGATAGATGTGTTCCATGTTATTAATGCATTGTCTTCATTTTCTTCACTTGGAAGTGAATCAGCTTTCAGTAGAATTTTTTTCCTGATTTTTGTGTTGTGGGATGACTTCCCCATGTACATGTCAGAACTGATATACCTTTGAAATAAAGGGGGAAGAGAGTCTTTGGTTCTCTGCAGTATAGTTGGATTGTAGCTCCCACAATGGCTTAGCATTGGCTGTGTTGGCTGAAACTTCTGAGAGTTGAAGTCCAAAAATACTCTAAGTTAAACTTTGCTTCCCTTACCTTTGTATCTTAGGCCTCGTGTACATGTGCAGTGCAATGAGGTAATTGAATGGAACGTAGTGCATAGATTACACATGGGTGATCACATTCTTTTAAATGCCTTCCTACATCTGTAACTCCAAAACTCAGATACACAGGTTGAGTGTGCTTCTGGGCCCATCCCTGAGCCTGGATGCCAGTGTCTTAGAGGTAGCCAGCAGTGCATTTGTACATTTAAAGCTGGTGCCGCAACCGCACGAGTTCCTTGAGATGCCTGATTTGGCCACAGTGACACTCACCTCAGTTACATCCTGTTTAGATTACTGCAATGTGAGGCTACTTTTGAAGATGATTCAGATACTCAGCTGATTCAACATGCAGCTGTCAAACTGTGGACTAGGACCAGTTATAGGGAGAAGATAAGTGCTGAGCTACAACAGCTGCGGTGGCTAGTAGACTGTTTCCAGGCCCAATTGAGAGTGCTGATTGTGACATACAATTACATTCTACAGTTTTGGGTCAGGCTGACAGAAGGACCATCTCTTCCCGTGTGTGAGGCTACCTTTGAAGACGATTCAGATACTCAGCTGATTCAGCATGCAGCCGTCAAACTGTGGACTGGGACCAGTTATAGGGAGAAGATAAGGGCTGAGCTACAACAGCTGCGGTGACTAGTAGACTGTTTCCAGGCTCAATTGAGAGTGCTGATTGTGACCTACAATTACATTCTACAGTTTTGGGTCCAGGCTGACAGAAGGACCATCTCTTCCCGTATGAGCCTTCCTGGTTAGAAAGATCTTCAGAAGGAGGCCTTTCTCTCAATGTGCTGCCATCAGAGGCACGTTTGAGGGGGGCACAAGGGAAGGTCTTCTCTGTGGTTGCTCACAGAAGGTTCAGGGCTCCCTTTTGGAGAAGTTCTGTTGGCTCTCTCTCTCTCTCTTTAGGTAGGTTTTTAATAGCTAAGATCGAATCCCTTCCAGATGCTGGTGAGAGCGAGATTTTTCAAGAGTACTTTTGAAGTTTTTAGATAACCTTTGCAATGATTATTGTATGCTTACTGTATTTGCTGGCGTATAAGACTACTTTTTTTGCCCTGAAAAACATGCCTCCAAGTGGGGGGGAGTCGTCTTATATGCTGGGTGCACTTCAGTTGGGATAGACATAGCTGCCCATAGTGGCCTTCCGATTCTTGCCCGGTGTCTATAGTAGCCTCCCGATACCTGCCCACCTCATTCTACATACTGCCCAGTATCATGTGGTATTCAGTGCGGCCGCAGCGAGCATCAGCAGCGAGACAGGGGTGCCAGCCTTTTTGACGTGACTGGCCCATTCTGCTCGGCGGGAAGCAGCAGTGCTCCGGTCTGTACCTTGTTTACGCAGAGCTCACACATGCACACTTGCGCACTAGTGCTGGTCACAGGGAGATGCAATGGTGGGCTGGAGGCGCTGCAATCACGCTGCGGCCGTACAATGCTGACAATGAATAGCACCTTTTATTTGGTGTGTGGAAGGTTTGCGGAAGAGGAGGTAGTCTTATACAGCGAGTATATAACAAACTATATTTTGAGTGGAAATGTTGGGGGGGTCGTCTTATACGCCGGCAAATACGGGTAATTATTTTTTTAACTTGGTAATTTCTTTTTAGTTCAACTTGTTTTAATTATTGTGAGCCACCCTGGGTTCCCCTTGCTGAAAGAAGTGCAGCCTAGAATCGAAACGAACTAACAAATAAATGAAATAGAAAAATAATAGTAGGCAAAACAAATAGAAGTAGAACCCTTTCTCATTTTTCTGTGTAGGAGATACGTGGCATCTGCTTGCGATACTTCAGTCAGACGCTGTTATACTCTCCCAATATTTTGTGGGAGAATGTAATTCTGTTGCTGGTCATGTTTAATTACCCAATGTTAAAGCACGTGCTATTTTGTTCTTTATTTTATCTTGTTACGTTTTGTAGACTCTGGATGATGGTCCCAATACTTGTAGATTACTATATGATGTCCCTTAAACTCAACATTGTAAAATAGGCTTTAAAATTCTAGGCAGTTTTTTTTTCTTTTTATCAATGTGCTAATTTTTACTCATTCAATTTTAATGTTACCTGACATTTAAGAGAAATTGTGGTCTTCCTTCAAGGTCCTTAAAATTGTTTCCTGCTTATTTTGCTGCTGTTAGTGACAGGCCAGTTCATCTTTATAAGAGCTCATACATAACTTTATATGCAAAATTATTTAACTATAAATTTGATTGATCAGTTAGATAGTATGTGGTTTAATCAATATGCTAAGTTAGTAGGTTGCCAGCTGTACTATTTTTTTAAAAAAGAAATCAACAATATGTTTTTTGCAGATAAACATTCTAAGGACTTCCATTAACAAATTAGTCAGTGATGGACCAAACAACGTGTTGCATTTTGGTCAAGAGAGAATCTCTCAGTTACAGAATGCTGCTCGTGAGAAGCTTTTAGGGTAAATTTATCTTTTTCTCTCTCCATCTATAAAGTGTTTCTGTGATGCTGAAACTCATTGTTAGCTGAATATTTGAAAACTACTCCTTTCTGATGACAACCTTGTTGCTATATTGTGTTGTAAACTGCTCAGAGAGGCCTTTGGCCAGATGAGTACTAAGTCAAATCTTCCTTCCTTCCTTCCTTCCTTCCTTCCTTCCTTCCTTCCTTCCTTCCTTCTAATACCTTCCTTCCTTCCTTCCTTCCTTCCTTCTAATTGATATGCTGATTTTCTTTCTTTTTCCTTTTTAAAAACAAAACTAGTATTGAGTATTTTAATGGAGTGATTTTGTTATCTTTGCAAGTTGATTGTATTTTAATTTTCTGTTTTTTAAGTTGCTTTGGGTCCCAATTTTAAGAGAGAAGAGGCATGTAAATAAAATAAACATATAAACTTGTTCTTAGTTCTGACTGCCGAGGTACTGATCTTTGGAACAAAATAATCAAATTTCAGGAGAAAGAATAGAACACCACATTTGCCTTAAGGTCTGTTCTGACCCACTATTCTAGTCCGCTGTAGGCGATGAAGCAGTATCTTTCTCTGCAGGAAGACACCACTCTGACTTCCAGATCTATATAAAATGTAAATATGAATGGGAAAAGACGTTTTTGCCTCCAACCTCACCCTCGTCCTCTCAGATTTGTTTTGGAGGTTCTCATCCGAGCACTTGTTTCCAGTGCTCCTCCCTTGATCAGTGGTACGCAACAATTCTAGAAATAAGTCTTAAATGTTGTTGCTCCATGTCATCCTGTAGGAATATGTTGCATAATTGTATTTCACACACACACACACACACAAAATGCAACCCTAGTGAACCGAAAACAACATAAAGGTTATCATTATATATTCAGGGCATTTGGGGGTTCTGTAGTTTATGCTAATTGTATTTACCATATGTCATCACTGTTTAAGAAGACACTGGGTAGTAGAAAAACATGCATAGACAGGATGAATTAAAATGTATCACTGCTATAGTTTGCATACAACAGAAAGACAGGAGTTGGCAAGCGAGGAGTCTGTAGTCATCGGGTTGTCACACACGACAAAGCAACGCTAAAAATAGTCGGGATAATCTCTGTAGATGAATAAGGATGCATACATGCATGTACTTCTGCCCACTGCAAACATTAACTCTGGCAGATGAACTTGAATTACAATGTTTTAAATGTTTGGCTTGTCAAATGATTCCTAACAAATGAGTTTTAGTTCTTAGATTATGGAGGACTGGCCAGGGGATGGTGGCAGAAATCTTCTGACCACATTAGTTACGGCTTCAAAGACACTTGAGAATGGGGTGGTTTGGCTCAAATTGGGGTTTGCTGGGGATGGAACTAACTATGAACTACTAGAAAGCTCAGGGGTTTAGGTCTCTGGCTATGGAGCCAGACGTTGGGAGTTTGATTCCCCGCTGTGCCTCCTTGACGGGGACTGGACTTAATGATCCATAGGGCCCCTTCCAGCTCTGCAGTTCTAAGATTATAATTATGATTATTAATTTCTACGTTCAGCCAGAATTTTAGAGGACTCCTTATGAAGAGTTCTCCATTTCAAGATATTAGCAAATGCCTGCCCTGGTTTTAGCCACCAGAGTAGACTCTTTACACCCCACCATGGGGTACTGGCTTGTTTTCCCCTGTGCAAATCAAAATCCACCAGAGAGGCATCTCCCTTTGCTATATAATGGCAAATGTCTCCCTTTAGGCCAGGGGTGAGAAACCCTTCATCTCCCTTCATCCCTGTTAGGGTAATGAATGACATGTTGTCAAGTCAGTTTTGACTACAATGATTTTTCAGAGTCTCCTAAGCATAAAGTAGTTAGAAGTATGTGAGGAGTCCAGGAAGTCTAATGCTTTTCCTGAAGGTGTGCCACCATCTTCCTAGGACCCTGTAGAAGAGTACAAGACATACAGTCTCTCTGTCAGGGACGAGCCCTTTGAAGAGAGAAAGAAGTTGCCCACACGTTGGCATGATCCAGAGGTGCTAAGAAGCCCAGGAGGGTGGGTGAGAGAAAGATCAGCCCAATAGGAGAGAAAAGAAATTGGCAGGAGAAAGGAGAAGGGGGGAGGGGAGCTATATACCCTGTTTCCCCAAAAAATAGGACAAGGTCTAATACTAATTTTTGTTCCAAATACGCAGTAGGGCTTATTTTCAGGGAATGTTTTATTTTTTTCATGTACAACAATCTACATTTATTCAAATGTAGTCATGTCATCTTCTGGTTGCTACACAGTGGTGGAGGGTGGGGTTTCACTTCACTGGGGCTTATTTTTGGGGTAGGGCTTCTATTTTTGGGGTAGGGCTTATTTTAGGGAAACAGGGTAGAGGAAGGTAGGAGAGAGAAGACAGGGAAGAAGACTGTGTTCTTCCCCTCAGAAAAAGAAGCGGGGGAGGGGGGAAGAGACATGAACATGGGTTTGAGAGATCAGTTTATTGGAAAGAGAGAGGAGAAAGATGAAAGAAAAGTAGAGGGGAGCCCATGGAGGGTGTCTATAGGAAGGCACCTTAAACCTTCATGGATGAACGTAGATTTTCTTTACTCATGGGAAGTTTTCCTGTCTCTTCCAGCCTGATCTGCAAACCAAAACCTCGTGAAGTAATTCCTCCTAAGTGGTATGCAGAGCCGTATGAATGGAGTCAGGTAAGATGATCTCCCCCCACCCCCAATAAAGATTCTTAGAGGAAATTAAACAACAAAATGGAAGGAGGAGGAAGAAGAGACTCTCATCTTGCACCTGAACCATAGAACTATTGGCCTGTGTCTGGCTCTCGGAGGTTTTGTACTTCTGGAATAATTTACTACAAAGATGCGTCCTTCATAGGAAGTTGCTTTACAATAGACCAGACCAGACCATGTTGTAGGAAATGTGCTGTCAAAGTGTTTCTGCCTTTCACCAACCTCAAGGATTAAGAGTATTCAAAAAGTTCAGTCTTTTATCAGCTCTCCTACTACACAGCATGGACGTTGTGTGTGTATGGGAGGAAATGTAGTCTGTGTGGAACATGTATGGGCCATGTGTTTGCACATGTAAATGGGCCTGTGGGAGAGCATGTTGTGAATGTCCCTGTCCATGTGGCAGGGAGAATGGAAAGTTGGACGCTGAATACTGCTGGACTCCAACTCGCATCAGCCCCTAGCCAGGCATGGCCAATCCTTAGGGAGGAGAGGAGTCCAGCAGTAGCTTGAGGGGCCCTGCTTCCCTAGTCCTGGCCTGTAGAGTTAGGGAAAGAACGGGAAACACACCCTCCTCCAGATGTTTTTGGACTTCGTCATGCCTCGCTATGTAGGGTTGAAAGTAGGCGCAAGTCATCATAATGAGGTGACACCATTTGGACCCCCTACATATAAGGTGAGTTTCAAGAATTTGGGAGGTAGCTAATCTCAACCTGACATCCTGTTTTTGTTCCTTGATAGACTGTTGGCTGTCAGTACATTTCTTGAGTATGTAGAATCTACGTTTCAGTATGTTGAATTTACATTGCTTTTATACTCAAGGCAATTTGGTTTCTTCCAAGCACTTATGAAATGATTTGTGTGATTGTGCAATCCTGCTCAAATGGCTGGTCTTTAGACCTTGCTAGGGATGTGAGATCATGACCTGTACAGAAGGGTGCTGGATTGTACCTGTATCGTTTTGCCAGGCGCTAAAGGTGATCTTAATAGAGGTGTGTTATAGGTACTTCCTTCCACATTTCTGGTACAGGTTCTGCCCACTTTTGTATGAGGACATTTTTATCCCAGAGGACAGTCGATTTGTCCTCACTTGTTACACACAATTTATGCCCAGTTAGTTTTACATTGTCGTAAGAACTAAAGGCAGGTTTCCTTTGTTGGGAGGTGGGTTATTGTGAGAAAGTAGACAGAGAGAGGAGGATCAAGAGAGTGGATCAGGTTTTATATTCCCGAGAGAGGCAGAAAAGGAATGGTTGTGGCCGCCACTCCCTCATCATTGTATTGTTGGGGGAGAGAATGGAAAGAGCCCTTACACGGAGAAAAAGGGAAGACTGAGGAGAGGGACACAGGGACAAAATGGGACAAAGGATTTCAAAAGAAAGACTGATCTGAGACAGGGAGGCATGAGTAATCTTACGACATGGGAGTAGGCACCCTGGAAAATTCCAGTTTCGATGAGTGGAATCCCTTTTGACATATTTGCCTGAGGGCAGGAAGAATTTTTTTGGGGGGGGGGTTTGTTCACATTAAAAATTGAGAGACACGGAGGAATTGACAAAGATAACCAGGTTGTGAAGGGAACAGCCAGGGGTATGGGATTTCTCACAAATGTCTGTTCATGGTTTGCCTGTTACACCCAGTTTAGAAGTTCGGCCAGAAACTGTGTTTGAAAGATTTGCAGGCCCCAAAGAGGGGATTGTGGAAAGTCACTATGGAACAAAGGATAAAACAGTTGAGTTAAAAGAAGAAAATGTGTCTCCTTCTGTTATTGTGGGTTAAGACCATATCAGGGGCCTGCGAGGGGAACCCCTCTCAGCTACTCTTCTCAAATTGAATAACCGCTAACAAAAATTGTTTCCCAACCCCATTAGATGAGGCCAGCGCTTCTCATTGACCAGTCTGACCAGAGGAATGCAAGTAGAAGCCGTGTCTCCCTGTACCAGCTGCACAAGTTGGTATTGTTAAATGCCTAAGACGCCACGTGTCAAGCAGACGTAACCAGAAAACCTATTGAAGCTGATGGGATTTGAACGGCAGATAAGTGTGTTTAGAATCGAAATGTTCAAAGAACCTTCACCTTAATGTTAAAAATATGAGATACCATCTTGTTGATGTTTTCCTTGTTGACATCTTGAAGACCCCTTTTTAAAAAAAATGTTACTTGCTTTATTTGAATTTGGACTGACTTCAATCCCAGTCCCATAAAAAATTGTTCCTGGAATAGATAAGTTTAGTTCGCCAGATGATTTGGACTACTGCTCCAATAATCTTTTACCATTGTTGGCTGGGTTTTCTGGGTTTTGAAGTCCTCAAAAACATCTGGAGGGCCAAAAGTTCCTACCTTGATGAGTAAATGTTGCTGACCCTCAACTAGCATGTTGCAGCTTTGTTGCTCAGACCTTGGAGGGTTAAAGAGGAGCCGCCTGCAAAAATAGGTTCCTCCACAAAGTTATACAACCCAGTTGCATGAGGCTGCCATCGGGCAGGCCAGCCAGCTCCACCTTTGGTTCTTATGTAGCAGATGGTGATTGGATAGCTGTACCCAGACAGGAACACAAATGGAGGCAAGCAGTTCAGCTCTGGGTGGAGTGTAGCCCTGGTACCTCCTTCCTTTTGTGTGGGCTAACAAGTCAATGCAGACTTAACTTGTTATTTTCTTAAGGATTTGAGCCAGAGTAGAATGGATTTAAGCTGGATTTATGCCCTTCCCAGATGATTCTGGCCAGTATAGCCAGTGGAGGTCATGGGCCAAAAACACCTGGAAAGACCACAGTTGCCTACTTCTGGTTTAAAAATATTTGTAATTTTGCTGCAATTGAAAAACGTAGGGCAACTGATACATATGATGATGTGGCTTAGATATGAGCAGGTACTTCACAGAAACAAAGTGAGATAAATATAATTCAGCCGCTTTAGCTTTGACTGTTCAGTTAACTTTCCCAAAAGGCAAATATTATGTTTGTGAATTAAAATGCCCTGGAAGTACGTTTTCTGCCCAGTATTTCCTTTCTGTTATTAGCTGTGCTAAAATTCTAGTTTGTTGTTAAAAATAAAGTGTTTGAGCATCATACATGGTTGGGGTTTTTTTGTGTTAATTAAGTATCTATATGTACACGCACACAAAAGGACACACAAATATTTACACATGAACACAGAGCCCCCCCCGGTGGCATAGTGGTTAAACTACAATACGGAGTCAAGCTTCTGATCGTGACCTGAGTTTGATGCAATGGTTTCAGGTAGCCAACTCAAGGTTGACTCAGCTTTTCATCCTTCCAAGGTCAGTAAAATGAGCACTCAGCTTGTGGGGTGGAGAAAGGAGTGTTTCTTGCTTAACTATGTGGTAAACCACCCAGAGAATGCTTTAGCACCATGGGGTGGTTTATAAATCAAAGCAACATTAACATACTTAGATACAAAATAATAGTAAATGAAAATGATATAAGATCACATAGGGACGTGGTGGCATTGGGAGGGGGTTAAACCCCAGAGCATCTGGGCTGCAAGGTTGTAAGATCAGCAGTTCAAATCCATGCAATGGAGGCAGCTCCCATCACTTGTTCCCGCTCCTGCCAACCTAGCTGTTCGAAAGCATGTAAAAATGCGAGTAAATAGGTACCACCACAGTGGGAAAGTAACGGTGTTCTGTGTCTAGTTGCGCTGGCCACATGACCATGGAAACTGTCTATGGATAAACACTGGCTTTATGGCTTGGAAATGGGGATGAGCACCGCTCCCTGGAGTCAGACACGACTGGACAATTTGTCAAGGGGAACTTTTACCTTTACCTTTTTATAAGATCTAAGATGCTGCTTTTTCTATCTGCACCAATCTCCCTGGAGAATTGTTTTTCAACACAAAAATTCACTCAGTGATCCAAGTTGTGAGTTGTTACGCAGCATCTACAGGAAGGCTACAGCCACATGCATACTTTGCTCAAGTACTATGTGAAAGATAATTGTACAGTTTTTGATCCAACCTGTCACTGGATTTTAGTTCTCTTTTCTCATGGGAAATCTTCCACTAGATGAGGAAAAAGTCCTTCTGGTTACAGTAGGGCATATCTGGACAGGAAGCAGGCCAGGAACAGGCATGGAGGCTGCAAGACAAGGCCTGCTCTAGATGAGCGAAATGCAAGTGTTGAAAAGGTGTCTGTAGCTGTGGGTCTGTGGGCTGGAGCTCCCAGATTTCTGGCCGGAGAATTCTTGTAGAATTGGAAGACTTGGCATTTTGTTTTATAAAAAAAAAAAAAATCAGAATGGCACATCCTTATCAAACACTCATCTCTCTCAATTTTTATAGTCAGCAATGCTCTGCTGCAATACGTGCTTAGTGGTAAAAAATAAAACTTTGTTTTTGAAGGCTGTGGCCCATTTGAGTCAGCATGAGCAAAAATGGAAACACCATTGCTGAGAGGATGCAGACTGCATATGGATCTTAGATGGAAGCCTTTTTCGGACTTCTAATAACAGTGAAATTTAACGGATAATTGCAAAGTTCCACACCTAGGAAAACAAAACAAAATGCACAGTAACAAGCTGGGGGATACATGGCTCAGCAATACTACATGCAAGAAAGATTTTGGTGTTGTAGATTACAAGCTGGATATAAGCCAAGAGTGTGATGTGGCTGCAAAAAAGGCAAATGCTATTTTAGGCTGTGTTAACAGAACAATAGTCTCCAAATCCGAAGAACAACTAGTTCCCCTCTATTAGACATCATCTTGAATACTGGATACCAGACTTACAGAAGTATACAGACAGTTTTCTGATACTTGGAACTGATTTGCTTATTAAGCCACTTTATCATAACAGAAATTGACACCAGAAGGAGCTTTGACAGCTGCAAGGCTCAATTTTAATCCATTCACAGTGATCACACACACTGGAAATGGAATACGTTAGAGTGCACCAAA